GCTCAAAGACGCGTTTTAAAACGAAATGCGTTTAGCAGCGTTTTGTATCAGTAACGTTGTGAAATGTGTTTCATAAAAGAAGCGTTTCAGAGCGTTTATATAACATGAAGTCTGTGAAACGCATTCTATATGTCCAAGAATGATGTAAAACGCGTTTTGTTTCGAAAAAACGCTTGGAAACGCATTGATTAGTTAATGAAACGCGTTTCGCATTGCGTTTCCTAATATTTTTTACGCCATGGGCACCATTTCCGGCTACATGAGCGGACTCAAGAACTACTATGTGTTGCCCTTCATCTAATTGGTTAGACTCTTTTGGTAAAAGAAAACAACTGTTGAAAAGTAACACTTGACTCATGTTCATGAATCTTGACTCAGTCACGATGGTATACGATTTTAGTGATGTGAACTCTAGTCATTAATTTCGGCTTGCTGTGATATGTCAGAAAATATGTGAGCGAGGGTTCTGTTGGATGGTGAGAGGTATGGCTATTACTTTTGAGTTTCGTTCTCAGAAACGGTGACACCCCTGTGTGCAACTCAGGAATGGGAATGCATTCCGGGTGCTCGTTCCTAGAAATGGGAACACATGGCTCTTTCCTATAGAAAGATGGGAAAATAGGTATACACTGATACATACATAAAAATAATGTGAAAGAATGTAAGATCAGATGCGTTCTGTTCCTAAGATCTAAAAATTCAGGGCAGTTTAGCATAAAAACACAAGAAAAGCGACTCATGACGGTCGGTATACTAGAATACTGCTAAAACCATGTTAAGTATATGTGTGTTCGTTCGCAAGAATATTGTGTTGAAGAACATGAAGGCTGACTATAAATCGGCGATGAATTTGGGTGGTAGTGACACAAAGAAGAGCATCCAAACTCACACACATCAACACTTATATTCTATCCTGTTGTTCCAAGTAGAAAGAACCTGAACAGAATATGCCCTAGAAATTCAATTAGGTTTCACTTCGAAGTTAACATGTTTTTCTTCAGAACCGACAACTTTTGCAACTATCGCCATGAGAAAAAGTCCACAAGAACATAATCATCCTCTGAAATTGCTTACGTATGGTCCTGATCATCTGTGGACGTGCGATATTTGTGGAGCTACTGATCATGGCGGGAATAAAGAGCGATTTCGTTGTGATGTTTGCGATGATTTTGACATGTGTCGAACTTGCCATGATACAACAGCCCATGACCACCACTTAACATTGTGCATTGGTATGGACTGGCATTGTGACATATGTAATAAGCAGAGTTATCCTCGGTATATTAAGTTTGCTTTTTGTGCATCATGGACTTTTATGTATTTAGATTTCACTGCCACACATGTACAAACTATGATTTATGTAATATATGTTACTATACAGAAAGAGCGAGTAAGAATTATTTTTTGTCATGAGCTCAGTAATACTAATGTTTAGTATGAATTTCTTTTTCAAGTTGGTCCAATTAAGTACGATTCACATTCACAATTGATTGACGTTGATGATGATGAAGAAGATGACAAGAATGATCTGATGACTTTTAATGATATTCAAAATCTTCAACAACATTTTATGATCGTATGGCTCGCTCGACAAAAAGACAGATTCGATACTACTGAATCTCAGCTATGTAAAATTATCGATTCAGTATGCTTTTTCGATGACAACGAAGAATGCATGAAATATTTATTAACTGTGAAAGATAGACAAGTTTTTTTTATTCTGGTCGATGAACTTACCTCAACTGTCATTTCACAGATACATGATATTCCCGTGGTCAGTCTTATTTACATATTTGTTTCTTCAATAACTAGCACTTTCGTTCCTGAGTCATCACATGCTAAAATTATAGGTGTTTTTCAAGATGAACAAGTCTTGTGTAACAGAATTACTTATGATTTTAATAATATCATGTCTATTCCAATTAGTGTGTTTAGTTCAACTGACGAAAATAATCAGAAATCAATCAAAGATCTGACAAAAGATAGTGTCGCCTTCATGTGGTCTAATTTATCATGGAAAATACTACTGTTGATGAAGCAAACAGATAAATCCAAGGAGGAAATGCTGAATGAATGCCGTTTATACTATTCGAACGATTCGAAAGAATTAAAGAAAACAGATGAATTCAAAGATTTGTATGATCCAGATCATGCCATTTATTGGTATACACGAGAAGGCTTTCTCTATCGTATCTTGAATCGAGCGTTTCGAACTGAAAACATCCATATTATCTTTAAATTTCGATTTTTCATTAGTGACATCCACCAATTGCTGAAAGAGATGCATTCTGAATATATTATTTCATTACTCAAACAAAGCGGCATTAAGATGGATCATATCACCAGCTTGGCTGATCTATCTGATGAACAAATTAGTCAAATAAATGATCAGAATGTTAACTTAAAAAAGACTTTCTACAGAGGACAGCTAATAAGTGCATGCGAATTAGAACGTCTCCGATCCAATCGTGGCGGTCTTATCTCTATGAATACATTTATGTCAACAACAGAAAGAATGGAAGTAGCTTTAATTTATGCCGGTGATGGGTCTCGGAGGCCGACGCTAGAATCTTGCTTATTTGAAATCGAAATTGATCCATTAATAAATTTAAAGAATCTTGTATTCGCCAATATCGCGTATTGTTCACAATTTCCAGAAGAAAAGGAATTCTTGTTTTCACTTGGGACATCATTTCGTATAGAATCAGTACAAGAGCAGAACAAAGTTTGGCACGTAAAATTAACAGCGGATACAATAAAAAATACACTTGCAAAAGACGTCTGTGATCATATTTTTGATTGTATAGCCCAAGGAAGTGCTCCATTACTAGCACTATCTAATGTAGTACGCGTTATTGGTCCTTCCAAAGAAGCTTTACGTTATTTAAAACTAGCAGAACGTGAATATGTAATGGATAGTGTGGAACTCTACACTATCTATCATCATCTAGTGGAGATATATATTGAGAACGGAGATCACGAAAATGCGATTAAATATTTACACAAGCAGAGAATTGAATTAGAAAAAACTGCACCACTAAATTATGCAGCTTCTGGGTTATTGTACTTAAACGAAGGAATATTATTTAAGAAGTATGGTTTATTCAGCCAAGCGGAGTTTAGTTTCCATCAAGCATTAAAAACAATTGCTTTATCCGAAGACGCTAATGAGATCTTTTTAGATATGGTATACGAACAATTTGGTTACATTTATTTACTAATGGATGACACAGACAGCGCACTATTTTATTTTAAGAAACCACTTGACAAGCATTTGAGAACATCAGTACTCGACCCTTTATACGCTGCTAAATGGTATATTCACATTGGTCATGTCTTTTTGGCACTCAAAGATTACTCTTCAACCTTGGAATACTTTTTAATGGCTGATGAAATCAATCAACAAGCTTTACCACCGGATTATCATATTAACATATATATGTCTTATATAATCGGCCATATGTACGTTCAAAACGATGATCATGAGATGGCGTTGAAATATTATACTAGATATAATAACATGCAGCATCATGATTCTTCTTCTGTTAAAGATTTGTCATTAGCCATGCTAAACACCTCTGTGGCTATTCAGCGATGTCAGCAATCCGAATGGGCAATCTCTATGGAACATTTGGAAAAAGCAGTCGCAGTACAAAAGGTGTTAGCACCATTCTGTACTTCCACAGCAATAACTTACAAATTAATGGGAGACGTTTATCGAAACTTCAAAAATGATCATGCTACAGCTTTACTTTATCATAGAAAAAGCCTAGATATTCTTAATAAACTAGACTATAGAGTTGTCAATCCAATGTTATCCAGTCCTATTCGACAGAACGTTGTTCAAGATTATTGGGAGTTAAAAGAATACAAAAAGGTAATTGAAATGTTTCGCAAAAATGATGATCACTTTTTAGCTAGCCTGAAAACACTTCTTGAAACCGCAACAACTTCTGACAATCAGCTGCTGTTTGATATTATGTTCCATTCATATTCGGACAATATTTACGTGTCAGAAAATAATGAATTAAGAACAACCAATCAGGTAGAAGAAATACTCAATGCATCTTTACCAATTGATAATAAAACGCTTTATAACTTGTATATTAATCTCGGTAATACGTACATCGATGAAAAAAATTATGAAAGTGCATTAACTAGTTTCAGCAAAGCGTTAGAAGTACAACGAAAGGCTTTGCCATTTGATCATCCATCATTTATTCGTACCTACGATGGAATCGCTTCAGCAGCATCTAAATTAAAAGATTATAAGAAAATGTTATATAATCTTGAGAAAATTTTACATATTTATCAAAATGCGTACCCATTGAACCATCGCCAAATTTTTTTAACATATCACAAGATATTTGCGGCTTACGTTAAACTACTTGAGGCACCAGCCAGTCTGATTTATGCTGAAAAGCTTCTTGATTTATCATTAAAGTATGATTATCCAGAGACAAAATGTATTCAAAAATTAGTGCATATACTTAGAGCTGATAGTGAGACAATTGTCAATGAATTAGCGATGCCGGTGTATCCTTTATATAATGAACAAGAATTTGAATGCTACAGCTCTGAAGACTTGGCTATGCTTTGTAATAGTCAACTTTGGCATGAGTATAAAACGAAGTCTTGGGGAATAGACAATGACGACGTATGTTATGTTTTTCAAGCTGACAATGACCCTTTCTGGTGGATTAAAGTAACAGGTATTATACCAAATGCTACTATTACTGATCTACATGATTTATTAGGCCTTCATTTTGTTGAAAGACGCAGTGAATGGCAGCAGTTGTCTATTACTAGTAAAGTTTTACACCGCTTCAATTTCAATGCTGAAATATGTTACTTTCAAAACCGTTCTGCAGCAGTATCAAAGCCGTCACATGATAGTTGCGTTTTAAAATATCGCCCAAAATGGGTAGACGATAATGATTTATTTGTTAGTTACAGAACCATTGATATCCCAAAAGTAAACGAATTTATTCGGACAAAATACAAAGGTGCACGGTCTATTACTCGCGTTGCCGAAAATCTTTTATACTATTCTAGCTTACATCATTTGGAGGGGCTAGGGTGTATGCCCCCGATAGCATTCAACAAACTGTATTGTAATATATTTTTGGATGAAGTCGAAAACATACGAAAAATTGTTAGTAAATACTAAATTTTCGAAATGATAATGAATAATTCAGTCTTAACCTGAATGCTGTTCCATAAGCAGTGGATATCAATCTAGAAGAGCATACCAAGGTCGGTTGTGTTCTTGTTCAAGGGGCTATTCACGTGGTTTAAGACACTTTAATTCGACTACACTTGAGAATCAAATAAGAATATCTTTTATACTCCTTTGGAATTTCAATTTCAAATTTGGTTGTCGTTTTCGACATCCTTTTATTGAAATCAGAATTATTCGAATATATAGGTTTTCTGGGATATTTACTCTGTAGTTATAATTGATTTCAAAACATATTTGATGATGATCTCTAGCAAAGAGCGAAATACGTTGTATGATACTTTGAATCTATTGAATCTCTATAATAAATACACTCTCACTCACACCCTTTTGGGTCTAGACTACTAAAACATGATATAAGAATGACACCTTAGCCGGCTGACAGATTTGGTTCGTTAATGTGCGAGGTTCTTTTATTCAATATTGTAGTTTATCTTTGGATTCTAAGTCAGCTGATGAATCCCTTGAGCAAGAACGAAAATGATCATTGTGGTTACTTCCATCACATCCACACTCTCAGGTTAAACAACAATAGATAATGCAAACAAGAACTGAGTGAATGCTATTTACAAAAGAAGGATTTGGAAGATAAGACACGTCAACACTACTCTGAAAGGCTAGGCGTCGAAAAGTCGACTTGAAAAACGTTTGAATGCAAAACGTCGATGCAAAGATTGTCAATAATGAAGAATAGTAACATAACATGAACGTACGCTAGAACGTTCTTTGCTTGAAATTGTCGTCATTTTGCTACTTTCACTTTGAAAAGGCAAGTATTCAATCTTTGCCAAGAGTCGACTCGGCACTCTACTGTTTATCTTCCGAAAGTCGAAGCTTCTTATCATGACACTCCAGTTAGAAAATATATAAAACTGTACGATATTCATGTAACTTACAGCGATCATTATCTTTTTCTTTGCCAGATGGCTTCGATCTCATATTATTGACGTGTATGTAAAAAAAAACCGAAATAAAACGCGATGCATCTTAACTATCTTGAGGATGTGGGGTGTAGGTGGGTCTGGGTGTGGGTATTATTCTTCTTATTCAAATCCGTATCCACACCCACACCCCATACCCACACCCTGATAATCATAGGTAGACTTTTATTTCATGTATCTTAGGATACATTTCTTCGTCCTTATTTTACTTAATTCTCCAGAAATATAATAAAGGTACAGTTAATACATTGTAACGAGCCTTGATTGATATGCGGTGTGTGACATGGATGTGGCGTTACTACTACATCTAAAGATCTACACTGCAACAGTGGTAGACTTTAAGCAGCGGAATAAACAATAGACATTTCAGTTTTCTAGTCTCATGAAGCCTTAAAGTCATTGTTTTTCCTTTGCTTATAACAATCATCGCGAAAGGAGCACGTAAGCTATTTATTTGAAGATCTTGAAAAATTTATACCACCAATATTATGAATAAACAATAACTATTGTAGGTTGGTAGAACGATGACATCAACTATCGAAATAGTTTTCGAACATTATGATAATAATGATCAGAATGAAATGCAGTAAATATTGACCTTCTTATCTTTTGGACTATAGCAGCAAGAAATTCATGATCTCTTTTGTTGTAAAACTGAACCTAAAAAAATATTATTAATATTATTCAGTTATTTGCAAAATAGTAGAGTTATAAGTTAAAGATTAGAGTTTTTCGAATGACTATATTTCATGTTTTTCTTTTACACCATAGGCAACAATACTAATACAACTTTAGCATCTTTGAACAGTAACTATTCATTCTCGAGTGATCGATCCAATGACTATATTGGTCAAGATTCCTAGGATCAAATTTAGTTGCCCTTTGAGGATTCATATATGATCTTGTACGATATTTTAAGAGTGAAATGAAAATATACGAGACATTGTGATTTTTACAAGGCTGACATAAGCTTTGTAGAAACTATGATTTCGTCTGATTTCTTTTGGATCTGGGCAGATTTCATCGAAAGCTGTGAGAAGTTTGAAATTAAGAATTCGTTAGCGATTCTTTTATCAGGATTCCTACTGAACGCTGTTGGTTTGTGGCTTTTACGAGATCCAACTAGTTATAAATATATTATCGTATTGGTATGCTCGATTGAAAAAATATGTTGCAGTTGAGAACAGAATCTAGCTGAAATTGGAATCAATTTCTCATATTTTCTTTCTTTAGAGACTTCATACGAATATGACTAAGACAATTTGTTTGTTTTATTATAGGACTCACATTTCCAGTTACTTATTAGTTGATAGAAAAAAAACAAATATTGTTTTTTTTAAATAATAACGAGTTATAATTAAGTATACTTATTCTATTCTTCTAAAACAGTACGTTAGGGATAACTTTCATATGACTGAATGCGCATGCATAAATCTCATTCATAAGGAATTGATTTACAATAGTATTCTGTTAACTGTCTTTCTATCAGATTTCAATTTTTAGAGAAACAGTACATAGAGCCATTCTTTGACTGGCTTCTTGTTTTCGTTAGTAAATTCGTGCTTTCTAGTTATATCGTATTCAATTTTTTCTGAGCATGGAGATATGAAGACATTGAATGATTGGTTGAGTTTCAAATGCTAGAAAATATTTTTGCATTCAAATATCGTCATTATTGTTGTTGTTTTGTTATCGCTGTATAAATTGTTCAATAAGAATGTTGGTAAATAGTTTCTATATGACGAATTTTGTTTGAAGCATGAGAATATGATGTGGATTGAACGATTGGTAAAATTTTGAATTATCTATTGATTTTTTTCGTTTTTGATTGAAAAATAAACGGAATACATCTGGGAGTTGGGCTCACCTGTAAAACCAGGAGTTTTGTGATTGTTCATGGAAAATGTAAAATATTTGTGTTCAAGAATATGAAAGAATTATTTAGGTATAGTGGAAGAAACAAATATATATATTTGTGATAAAATATATGTGGTGCTCGTAAACGTTGTCACTGTCTCGTAGCTTTGTTGAGAAAACATATTTTGGAAAAACGAATAGTAAAACAAATTGATTGATGTATTATATTTTATTTTATTCCTGAATGTTACTATATCTTTAAGATATTCAAATGAGGAGTATTTTTTTTTTGAATAGTAATACAGAGAACATGATATATTATATGATGTAACATCGTAGAAATGAAAATGTATGATGAACGTTGACGGTTTTTGAATTATTGATTTTTATTATTTCGTTTTGGTTTAACCGGTTCATCTAACCATTTTATTCGTTTAGTTTTTTGAATGATACGAGAGTCAATTGAATGTTTGTGTTAAATATTAGATGTGGTTGGTTCCGAAATTAATGTCTTTTAAATAATAAATTACAAGATATATCTTTTATTTATATTTGTAACTATAGAAGAAAAAAATGTTTTCAATATTGTTAAATGAGGATTGAGAAATATAGAATGATTGATTGTGTGAATTTTGAGAATTGAATTACAGTTTATGTTGTTTTTATACAGGATTTTTTTAATTTTTCCTATTAAAGTTAACAAAACAATAACAAATATAGATTACATCATATAACTAATTGGAAGTAGTTTTTTCGTATGATAACTGTATGGTGACTTATTATTTTTTTCTCTCATTATAAAACTTTAAGATATTCTGTAATTGAGCGTCAGCTAAATATAAGAAACTTCAAGGTTTGATCAGAGTTTATGATTTTATAGCAGTATGACATATGTGAAAAGATCATTACTCCAAGACGTCATTGTTGTTTTTTCAAGTTATTATGCATAGTTAGGCCAATAAAGACTCTATCGAGTGCGAGTAAGTTTACGCGAACCAACCGTTGAGCATAAATACGAATACGTATGAGTTTTCTAAGATCTCAATACAGAAGTTATCTAGTAGATTTAGGAATGATGCATCATTTTAGCCAATGAGACTTTATGCGAGTCATCAATCAAAATGTTAGTATAATTTTTCAGCGTATAGTTCTCCGTGCGTGTCTATGTTTATGTAAGTGAATCTTCTTTTCACAACCATTGGCATTCTGATTGAGGCATTACTTTTATAACAACAAATTTATGTTATTCATTGAGAATGACGATATTTCAAAATTAATAATTATTACCAACCATATTAGTGCGTCATAATTATGCCAATATATTTTTTCTTTTTATCCTTAAAAATTAAATATTAATCTTAGAAAGTTTTAGGTCATAATAAGTATAACAGAGTGAGAAAAATCCTATTTTTTTATCTCTCTAATAAATTAATATTGATATTATAAAATAGTATTAGTTTACTTCCATTGACAAAACAAAATAAACATCATAGTTAGGCATTAAAAGTAATTCCAACAAAATGAGAAGTTTTATAAAAAATAATTTTATGACTACTATTGTAACTAATGTTTCTCTATAATCATTTTTCTAAAACCTACATTGTGGGGATACTGATATGCATGTAGATAGGGTTTTATCGATAAGTGCTTTAAGTAAAATATTTGATAGGGATAAGAAAAAGTTTAATGTATAACTATCACTTAGTTCACAAAATTAATTTTCGTATAACATAAAATGCGTTTTTTTGGTTTATAAAGAAAAATAACCTTCAATACGTCATGTAGTTTTTGATACTATTCTTGAGGATCTTAAATTTAAATGACAATAAGTATGTTGACAGAATAATTCTTTTTGTAATGACTTATTTACAATAATCGTCATTTTTAAAACTATGGTACGTCAAACGTACTCTTACAGACAGCCAAAAATTGTTCTATATTGGCATGTTATATAATTCAGTGTTACTCTCGTAATTCTCAGTATAATATCCGGAAAAAGACGATTGGTTACACACGTCCAAATAACCATTCATGGGATTCGCATTTCAAAACCATCTAGTACTCCTGTTTCACCTTCTATT